ATTGACGGCAACTTCTGTATTTATTATTGCCTTCATTGCTGCTCCTCCAGTAGACATTAAAACTTCAAAAATTCTTTCTTAGGAAGGAATGGAAAGATAGGAAGCTTGGAGAGATAATGGAAAGAAATAGAAATAACAGATCTGCGGAATGGAGCAAAAGAAAGACGAGTTAGAGAACGGATGTAAGTCAATTGTGACCCTGCTAGCAGTATAAGCCCTTCTCCTGCCTGGGGTGGGGCACGGACATCCCTCTCTGTAAGGTGGGAAGGAGCGATTCACGACAAGGAAGGAATATCAGAAATCCATAATAGAGTCCGACCATAACCAGACCGGTAGACTTGAACCTTGTTCCTACATGACCTGATCAATTCGATCAGGCGCTCGTCATCTATTTTTATTGTTCAAATCTTTGACAACACAAAAAAACCATTTTAATAAAGCAAATCGACTTCGATTCTTGAATAATCCTCCAGCTACTGATCATCGCCTTGGTAAGCTATTGCCTCACCAACTAGATACAGGGAAGGTTGGGGCAATGAGGAGCTAGACGAGTATCTGCAGAACCTCTACCCCATCGACTACATCTATCGCTGAACCAACTGGTCACGGACCGACCATAGAACCCTGTTCAATAAGTGGAATGCATTAGCTGTCCGCTCTTAGGTTGGGCAGTCAGGGTCGGAGAAGGGCAATGACTCATTCTTAGTTAGAATGGGATGGATAAAATCCTTTCCGGCATCATCCCATTTCGAGGACTTACAAAAATACCCTGGGCGGTGCCACAGTAATGTTCCTCACCAACGATCCGAGGTTGAAGCATGGTTGACGTAGCCCTCGGTCCATTAGTGAACCATCTCTCCAGGGATTGTGAAAGATGTTCTACTAGAAATATTCTTGTTATTGCTTCGACTCATATTCCCCAAAAAGTGGATCCCGCTCTAATAGCTGGTTGTGGCGCGAAGTACTCTTGTGCACCTACGTCATTCGGCTCGCGCGCAAGCCCGCCCCCTTATGTTATGGAAGAATTGAGCTTATTGCTGGGCTGGTTATTCAGAGCCAGCAATTGGCTGTCGGACTAATGGAATAGGCAACAAAGCCACCTTGCCACCCACTGCCACTAAATCACCACCCCCCCCCCCAAGTTAAACTGGTACTTGCTGTTGTGCCAGTGCTCTGGAAGCGGATAGGCCGATGGTAGGGAAGGCTAGCACACATCATTTCTCTAAGAATGTTGAAGGCGTAGGCAGTATTGGGGGAGACGAAGCATTAAATTGGGGTTTATCGGGACCAATGCTACGAGCTTCCGGAATAGAATGGGATCTTCGTAAAGTTGATCATTATGAGTTTCATCCTCAACTGGATAGAAGAACTTCGCCTTTCTTCTTCTTCCTGAAATGAAATGAAGAGAAAGAAGGTGCCCGGCCTAAAAGACTGGTGTAAAAAGCTCTTTTTGTTGGTCAAGACCTGTTTGGAAGCCCTCGGCCAAACGAGTATTTTACAGAGAGCCGACAAGGAATTCCATTAATAACTGGCCATTTTGATCCTTTGGAACAACTCGATGAATTTATCTGAATGTCTTTGTCGAGTTGGTTGGCATCATTCGTTCCTTTCTGTCTTTTCATTGTCCGCCTCCGGTATATATATATATATATATATATATATATATATATATATATATATATATATATATATATATA